GCGTGCAGTACCTCAATATTGTTGACCCGATCAACGTGCATGATAGTCTAAGCCACGGCCTACCTGACTGCAGCATCGGCAGCAACAGAACTTCGCTATCCAAAATTCGCCCGTTAAAGGGTTAAAAGCATACAAAATCGCCTAACTTTCGTGCGATTAATCGCTGTTTTGACTCAAAATGATGATTAATCGTAATTTTTCTGCTGGTTTCCAAAGTAACAAGCCAAACATATCGCCGATTAATCGTGTGGTTAAATGCGATAGATTGCACGATTAATCGATGACTTTTCTGGCTTGTTACTTTGGAAACCCAGCAGAAAAATTACGATTAATAATCATTTTGAGTCAAAATCGCGATTAATCGGCAAAAGCTAGGCGATTTCGTCGACATGGGATCGTCTTACTTATTCGGAATACACTGATGACATAATCGGCAGCCGCACTGAATTTGATATGGATCTCGAATTATAAACGTACATATCACACATTTGTATTTTTGCTCGATTGAATCTTTATTGGCGACATTGAATCCTCCGAATCCCGAGTTAACCTAGAACAAAAAAATGATCATAAAAAACTTGTTACTTTTTATTTCGATACATGAATTATGTCACTTACAGTGTCTGTCTCTCTGAACATTTCACTACAGTAGATCTAAAAAGTTGAATTTTCAATAGCTTATAAAAAGCAACCAATCTGCTAGACCCCAAAATTTTACTTTATTTCTCATCTCAGAATCAAGTTCAGCATATCAAATGATGGGAAACCGTTTGTGCTAGAAAATGGCACAAGCGCAACTCCCAATATCATATTCGGAGCCAACGTCGTAAACTGACTCGAATGATGTACCTTTCTATCCTATCCGCTCACCGTTGTTTTTTCGAATTTTTACATCGAAAAAATTACTGAGATTTTCACCAAAAAATGAAAATCAACAAAAAATTTCAAAAACGTATAGCATTCGACTCAGTTTGCGACGCTGACTCCGAATATGATGCTTTCATTGCACAAAAGTTGAGTAGCGGCCCTAATTCAAGCTTTCCCGCCAGAGACCCTCCGAAAACCCTGTGAAGATCTCCACACTATCATCATCAGATCCTTCATCATTTCTAACCTAGTCTAATCTAATTCTTATCATTCTGCATATTCTTATCATCGAGTCGACACGTTCTTTTCTTCTCTCTTGCCACGTTCTTTTTACCACGTTAACAACAACAAAATGTCTTATTTAGCATAAGTTGACAAATTTCAAAATGAAATTGATAAAAACGTACAAGAATTTAGTAAAGATGAATATGTTACCTTCATATCCAAACTAAAAATATTTATGGATGCCACGGATGTTAGACTAAACACTTATAAAACAGAAATAAATAGTTTAAAACATCAACAACAACTATTACAAAAAGACTCGGAATATTCACAATCAATCACTGATCTCTATAAATCACAAACAACTGCAACTCAAACGATAATCGATCAAAATAAATCGTTAACAGAGTTAGTTGAAGGTTTACAAACAACCATTACATCGTACAATACAACATTAACTAGCTTTACAACTTTATGCGCTCCAATTATAAACAATTCTGTGACTACTTCACCTATTACTTCTCAAATGCCAACCAGATCATCACAAACACATGTAGTTCGCAAACCAAAAATACAGTCGAGTAAAAATGTGGTAATTGGCGATAGTTCAACTCCTGATTTAATACCCAAACATTTATGCACAACACAACATCAAGTACAAGTAAAAACTAGTTCCGGTAGCAATATAAATCGTCTACATGAACAACTACACAACGGTGATTTCGACCAGCTACTTTCTTCACCACCAACTGCCACTTTCATTATGGGAACTATAAATCTTTCTACTGAATCACCCTTACAAACTATTGAACATACAAAATCATTTATATCATCATTTAATAAATTACATCCAAACGTAAAATTATTTATTCCACACGTACCATACCGTTCATATTCTGGCTTACAACGAGATATTGAAACCACAGTAAATGAATATAATCAATTATTAGATCAAGAAGCAGCAAGCGGTAATTTTGTCACATACGATTTGAATATTACAGACGATTCCTTTTTACTAAAAGGCGACAATTAAACGGTAAAAGTTTATACTTGAATCAAAAGGCAGTAAGGGGACACCTTCTATATCCTGATCGGGATATATATTCCGATTGGGAGTATATCCCGATCGGGATATGTCTCCACACTGAAAGGGAACTATTATGATCTACCATTCCTCGCAGCTCATAAGACTATGTTCTCTTCTTTTCCTTTCTTTCTGTTCTTGCGCAACTCTTGCATAACTGTTGTTCAACTTATGTACTATATATAGCCGTTCGCTTAATGCAAATAAATATGAGAAGTGAGTGAGTAGAACCTCACAGGAACTCGTCAATTAATAACAAGTATAAAAGCTCATTCCTTAGCATGAAGATTTAGTCCATCCTCTCTACAACATTTTTATTCACAAAAGAACAATTTTTCTACTGCGTTCAATTCGTTTTCCTCCACTTTCCATTTAGCCTTTTATAATATTACAAGTATCCTATCTTAGGCAACTCGTCAGAAAAAATTTTGTGCGCTACTGAATTACTTTCTAAATGTAAATCCTGCTATCTTTGGATTAGTTGAAACCTGGCTGAATGCTTCAGTAGTCGACTCACTTTTAGCAATTCCTTCTTCTTCGACATAACGAAAGCGTTTGACAGAGTATGGCACGATGGTTTGCTACTGAAATTAGAGCAGTTAAGGGTTGAAGGTTCCTTACCTGAATGGTTTCGATCGTACCTGTCAAACAGGATGCAATGCGTCCGTGTCGAAGGACACACCTCGTCCTACAGAATGGTTGAATCAGGAGTGCCCCAGGGATCATTCTTGGGCCGCTCCTTTTTCTCGTTTATATCAGTGACATCGCTAATCTGGACTTAAAAAGCATGTTATATCTATATGCGGATGACACATCTATTTTTCATACAGTGACACCAAACGACTCTGCATCCTCCCTAACAATCCAGGATGACTTGGATAAATTAGATGACTGGACAAACAAATGGTTAGTACTTTCAGCACACAGAAAACAGAAGAAATAAACTTTTCATCTATTGGAGGGAACGCAACGTTTTATCCACTTTCCTTAAACAGTAACACGCTAAAACAAGTGACAGAGCATAAACATCTAGGACTCGTTTTGGATCAGCACTTAATTTGGAACGAACAAATAGACTACGTAATTAACAAACTAAGTAAAAGGTCGAACATTTTGAGAGCTTTGCAAAAAACACTGGCACGACCGGCTCTTAGACAAATATACTTATCCTATATTTTGGTCGTTATGGAGTATGGACTGGTCTTATATAGTAATACAGCTCAAGCTAATGTAGACCGATTGCAAAGCCTTCAAAATGAGGCACTTCTGAT